TGACTCCATCCTGGAGAGAAATATCAGCTGTGCTGCTGCAGAAGAAGAAGAAGAAGTAAAGAAATGGAGCCGCTGCAGCTGGTTTCAGCTTTTATAGACATTTCAGCTGATAAGAGAATATAAACAACCTTCTGTCCGTCCTCCCAGATACACAAATAAATACTCTGACTCCTCCCACCTTTGGCACATGCTTAAAACAGTCCCTCATGCATCACAGTTACCATGGATACACAAGAAAATGAAACCCTGCCCTCAGAACCCCATTACATTCACTCACACCTGCAGGCTGCCGCAAAGCCTGATGGGAATCAGAGTCCACCATGGCAGCCAATCAGAGCTCACCATGGCAGCCAATCAGGGTCCAGCATGGCAGCCAATCAGAGCTCACCGTGGCAGCCAATCAGAGTCCACCATGGCAGCCAATCAGAGCTCACTGTGGCAGCCAATCAGAGTCCACTGTGGCCGCCCTCGGCCGCCAATCAGAGTCCACCTGGGGAAGCCACAGTAACCAATCAGAGTGGCTGAGCTGCTCCTTGCAGACAGGAAGTCTTGAGCAGGTCCACTGAGACGCGTTCTGACGGATCTGGCCCCGCCCCCTCGGCGAGGTCATAATGGGACGTCCAGCAGCTTCTGGTGCAGGTACTGCTTCACTTCCTCGATGCCGTTCAGCTTCTCCAGCTCATGGTACGGCAGCTGAGGGAGGACAAAAGAGACAGTGGGTCACATCCAGTCCAGAACAGAACGGCACCACCACCCCACAGGGTCCCACTGAACCGCTAGAAAGGCCCGGTTCTAGTCCAACATTTAGAACATTGTGGAGCTACTTTGTGGTTCCATTGCTGAGGTTCTGAGGCTTTCAGAGCATTTATGTTCTGATCAGAACAGCAGAGGGCGCTGTGGGTCGAATCTGACTGACAGCAGAGCAGAAGCATGATGAAATCCCCTTTGTTACTGAGCTGATGCTAAGCTAACATTAGCCTGGCCTAAGGAACTGGGTCGGTCCTCTCTGAACCTCTACCTGCTGTGAGGGATTGCTGCAGTCAATGACGGGACCATCTGGTTGATCTGGATCTATGAAGTCACATGAAGGGAGCGGAGCATAGAAATAAGCTGAATAGAATAGTAACTTCTGCTGAGTAGCAGGGTTCTGGTTCTGACCCGACCCAGGTTCTGATTGCTCTTTGGACTGACCTGCAGGATGATGTAGCCCAGCAGTTGCAGGTGACGGTCCCTCATGGCCCTGGAGCCCACCAGGACCTCCGAGTTGTGGCAGTAGTGCCACTTGTCGTTAACGGACATAACGACCCTGCTCAGAGGACAGCGGGGTTTAGAGGGGCGCTCCGGTTCTGCGGGGGCCGCTTACCGAGGGGACACTGACCTGCGGATCTGCCTCTGCTCTGGCCGGGGCCCTTCTGGACCGGCCTCGTCGGGGGCGGCCCCCCTTTCGGCTCCAAAGCCGGCCGCCTCGCAGTCCGTCTGCTGGACCTCTGGGGCCGCTGCGGGCCCCTCATCCTCCAAGATCTTCCCAATGGAAAACTGGAAGAGGGAGTCGGGGGCCAGGGCCCCTGGAGGTGCCTGGGGCGGGGCCAGGCCATCGGAGGGAGGGCTGCTTAGCGTGGAGCTGTCCTGGCTCTCTACAGACTGCTCCTTGGCCAGACCTGAGTAGTACTGAGCTGCAGGGATGAAGTAGGGGCCGTAGTCCAGGGCCCCGCCGTTGGTGCCGGCGCGGGGCTCCTCTGCGGGTGCTGGAGCCCCCCCTATGCTGCACATGCGGTGAGCCCTGAAGGGCCTGTCCTCTGTAGCTCCGCCCCCTCCTTCGGCAGCCGCAGCGGGCGGCTCGCTACCGTCCTCCACCGCCGTTTCCGTGGTAACTGGTCCAGCCCCGGGCTTGACTGTGACGGCGATGCAGGGAGGAGGGACGCAGGGTCCGGACCTGATGGGCAGAACCCTCCCAGAACTGTCCAACCATAAGATGAAGTCTGCAGGAGGAAACAGAAACCACGGGTCAGAGGAGGTTCTGTAGAAGCCAGGATGCCCTACGTAGAACCGGCCGGTACAGACCGCCTTAGACCTCCTGAGGTCCAGAACCTTTCTGACCAGCTCAGCAAACTCTGCACAATCCCACAGATCCCTCAGGGTTCCCCCTGGGTTCTGGCCTGGGCAGCTCCAGAACCGCTCAGGATCCATACCGAATCGCTCCTCGGTTGTCCTGCAGATGGTTTTGGATCACTGTCAGAAGTTCTGGTTTGTTCTGCTGTGGTCTGTGGTGGCACAGACCTCTCAGTTTGTTCCCCAGTTCCCAGTTAATCATAGTTCTGGCCTGAAGCTCCTACAGGTCACCATGGAAACCCCGCTGACCTGCGGACCTGCAGCAGGTCCACAGGTCCCTGATGTCTGCAGCAGAGGATGGAGTCCAGCTGAGATCTTTCATCCAGCTGAGAGTGGAGCAGCAGGTCTGAGCTACAGGGGGGGTCTTTCTGGCCACAGAACCATATAGTACCTGAGCATAGTGCTGAAGTACCAGCAGAACTGTGTGTAGTACTGTGCTGGGATCTAATAATGAGCACTGTAGTACCTGTGTGGTATCCAGGGGGCAGCACCTCATCCTGGTTGAAGCTCTGCTCTCCCAAAAGCTGCCGCAGGGCTTCAGCCACCAGACCTTTATAACTGACATCAAAAGGATCCAATCAGAACATCAGAAAAACACAATCAAGCAACAGTTTACTACAATCAAAACATAACTATGATCTTTGGGTGGGCGGAGCTGGGCAGGAACCAAAGCACATGAGGGGAGCTTCAAGTACAGGCTCTGCCCCTTTGATCATGAGACCACCCCCTTTGATCAGTTCATTACATCCGTTTGATCTGATCTCTTATTTCAGTCTCACACTCCCTTTAGCCCCAGGTTTATGTCCCCGTTGATCCTAGCAGCACACCTCCAATTACACCCAGAACCATGCCCCCTTTGATCCCAGAAACCACAGCCCCATTTGATCCCAGAAACCACAGCCCCATTTGATCCCAGAAACCACAGCCCCATTTG